TGAGTATCAGAGAGAAAAGGACAAAGTCTCAATTAATGAATTAAATCAATAGACAGATAATGCTAAATTAGTGATTCTCAACCCTGGCTGCACATTAGAATCACCCTGGGAGCTTTTAAAAATACAAATGCCTGTATCCTATCTTAGGCCAATTAATTTAGACTCTCTTGTGGGTGGGCCTTGGCACTGATATTTTTTAAAGTTCTCCAAGTGTACAGCCACAACTGAGAACCTGAGTGTTAAACACAAAAATAAAAATAAGCTAGTCTCCATTACCAGCTTCTTACAGTTTAAAAAGTTAAATTTCAAAAACAAAGCACAAAAATCTATTTCCCAAATATATTATTTTTGTTGATAAACTTGCCTTTGTCATCCAAAGAGGGACAAAAACTCATTAAGAACTAATTCATCTTTGTGATTTTATCAAGACAAAATGTGACTCTTACAAATAAAAATGATTAAGCTGATGTAGAAAAACAATTCAAGTTTACTACTTACAGGATAGCACTCTACTCCAAAGATCACACTATTTTAACTAAATACATTTTACTGCAATATCACTTTATTCAATTAGACACTTCATAAAATAATCCAAAATTCAATTAAGGATCAGAGGAGGTAATAAAATTGGGGGAAAAAGAAATCTGACCCTAAATAGGAATTCTGAAGATGTTAAACTTAATTAGAAAATTTTTCCTTCATGTAGAGGCCAGCAATGGATGTTATCCATCTCTCTAGAAAGTATATCCTAAAAAATTTTTCTATTAAAAATTAATCTTCCAGAAGAAATTTGGCATTACTTTCAGAAAGTAGTCCTAAAATGACAAAAATGTGTTATATCCCTTTGCAAACATTTTTCTTGATATATTCAGAGGAATTTCAACTCTCCTTTAGTGCCAATCCAACTACAAATAGGGATCTGGGATTTAGAGAAAATGGTATTAACTTTGAGAAGACCCATAAACCTTAAAAGTTGAGTCAGTGTTTCCCCCACCACAAGAAAGTTAAGATAGTTAAGAAACTTCAGATCATGTCAGTGCTCCTGTTCCAGTTACCCTAAAAGACCACGTATCTCAAGGGAAAAACATTTTTTTCCTAAAGGTAAGCAAGGCACTTCAAATCAGCATCTCTGTTACTGGCCTGGATTCCTCCAGTGGGACCCAGTTTCTAAGAATATACCAACAAAGAATCTGAGTGATACTTAGCAGGAGTTTCTTCACTTCATCTCAAAGCGGATTTCATTCTGTTTTTTGCTATTTACCGGCTGTTTCTCAGGAAAAATGCACAACTATACGTTTCTACTGGTTAACTCAATTACTTTGCTTGGTAAAAATCGTCTAACTACAGCTTTTAGTATTTTAAACATTCTTAACTCTACCCTATTTCTACTTCCACACTTATGCTGAAAAATGATATAGCTTCACCTTATTTCACATAAATCAAATCTTAAAACTGGTTATAAATAAAATCTTTAAGTACACTAGGAAAGTTTACCATTTATGTGAATCCTTCATTAAAAAAATATTTTTAATCCGGACTCTCAAATATCAAAGAAATGGAAGCTAACATTCTTTGCCTATTTTTAGATACTTTAATTACATTATTTCACTTAATCCCCACAATCCTAGGGAGATAGAAGGTATTATCCCCATTTTACAGATAAGGAGAAGCCAGAAGAGTAAAATTTACCTTTGACCCAGGACTGACCCCAATGACCCAACTCTATCATACTGATTCAAATTTTTATAAAATAGGTTAACAGCAAAAATACTGAAATCAGTTGACCTGAGTACCCGTAACAGTTGCAACACCAGATAAATAACCACAGGCCTGACACTAAATTGTTTAAGCCTCAACTTTCTCATCAATAAAATATGAATGATACTGGTTTTGCAAAGTTGCTGGGATGCCCCAATGAAATATAATGTTTGTAAAAACACACCAAGCTATGGCATGTCATGCAGCAGCATTACTTTAGTAGGTGTGAAAAAGCAAGGGATATCGGGGTTAGGAGTTACACCTCTTTGGACTATTTCACTTATTTTACACAATACTGTTTTATAATTAAAGTAAGTATGAACCAATTTGTAAATGCTAAGAATTATATAAATGTAAGGCATCTACTACTTTACCAAATAAATCCTTCCAGAGACTTAAACAAAATAGGTTAAAACAGGCTGAAAAACTTCTACTGTGAATAACAGATTTTTTTTAATGTTGGACATTTCCTAACTGTTGGATACTAGAGGAAAAATTTAAGGTAGAAAAATTAAGTCCTATACTAACTTAAATTTAAAAACAGAAAAAAATGGTTGATCAAATGCTTCTACTTTTATTTTCTAGTACCTCACTCTCAGGGGGAGCTTATAAAATTAACATAACAAGAAAATATAAAAGTGCTTTGAAAAAAATTTTTAAGCTATACAATGAGGCAGTTTAATTTTCAGGACCCACATGATATGTTTGTTTTTAAAAAATTCTTTTAACAAGTCTTTTTTTTATTAAACACTTTCTATAACAAAATAGTTTTCTCTGAACATTTTCCCTATTAAAATCCTGCAACCTACTTACTAAATGATTTTGCACAAATAAACTTCTTACAGATGAAAAAGTTGGATTATTTTGTTAATCCCTACCCATAGTATGCTTTGAGGAAAATAGCTGGCACCTTTCCAGTTTAGATCCTTGTGGACAAAGTGTAACATAAGCAGGTTAGTATAAACACTTGAAAGATCTTGGCTGCCCACAAATATCTGAATCTCTCCACAGGAGGATTGTATTTCAGAGCAGGAAGAAAAATTCTCTTTCATACACACACTAAAGGGCTTTCCACTGGTTTTTGTTAAGACCACAAATGGAAAAAACTACTACAGACAGAAGCAGCACACAACTCTGCGGTATCAAGTACACTGCCAAAGTACCATGTGAAGCAACTGAATTTTTTAAAAAAGCACTTTTCAAGCACTTTGGCATTTGCAGTAAAAGTAGCTCTTATTAGTGGGCAATCCAAGTAAGGGTCTTACCAATTTGCATAAATTATCTTGAATACCTAATCTTCCTTTTAAAGAATACTGTATTTTAATGTTAAATATACAGAATGAATCTAAAGTTCCAGTTTTATTTTTTCTGTACTAGTGACCAAATATTACAAATAAAACATTCAATGGCACCTTCAACTTGTTGAACTATGCACCATATAATTTAGAGGATTACTGATTCGGCATATTTTTGTCAAGCTTTTAAAAACTGTGTTAAAGCTGCATCTCCTAGCTTGATCTACTAACCATGTTTAATATGCAATTATTTTTATTAAATAAAAGTAAATATATTAATGAGGAAAAGAGTATTAAGGATCCACGATACCCTACTAAAAAGCAAATATGAAAAATGCTAGCAGCAAACCTTCAATTATAAACAATTTCACAATTTAATGGAAAAAAAATCAATGACATAAAAACATTTTTAATTAAATTTACACTATGAAATCCATGAATAGCAATCCAACATCCTAACAGGTTAAGATGATATTCTTTTATAGCTACGAATCACTCAAGAATTCAAATCTTGGCAATGCCTACCACTGTGGCTTACCATTGACCCTGATACGTAAATTTTAACCGTTTTTGCATGCTGAACAACAAATGATAAATGCAGCAACACAAGCTACACGTATCTTAAAACCTTTCAAAAGCAAGCTGGATTCTGGCTGTGGGATGTCCTTGATTTAGAAGCACCCCAAGAGGCAGGACAGTATAGGGTCTGAATGGGGTTCCAGATCCATTATAAGTCAACTGTGATTTGATCTGGGGTTTTCTTTAGACTCCTAGCCTAACTAAGGCTGGATGCACAGGTCCAAAGACAAACAGGAACCAGATTATCCTTGAAGGAGATGAAATGGATTGAAAAAATCTCAACATTTATCTATTTTAGTATGGGATCTTTTAATTTCCATGCCTTGTAAAACAGATGATCTGATTTCCATCAGGTTTCTTTGGTGTAAGAATTGTTTTAAATGTCTAGAAGCATTATCACCTTGCTGTAAGACGATTTCTAGCTCATCAAAAGCGAAGACATGAAAATTGTAAAATTAAAAGAGTAATGCTCAAAGAATAAACTAGACCACCGGGAAACATTTTATTAAAAATCCTCGAAACCTTGTGGGAAAAGTAAGTGAGCCAAGTTCTCCTGCACAGCATTAGGCACGGAGACGAATCTGAATTACTGTACAACCTACACAGCCCCTGGAACCCCTGCTTCGCGAACTAAGTTCCCAGGCCACTGCAAAGCAATACTAACTCTCGTACACTCCTCCAAATTTACCCTGTGTGTTTGCTCAGGCAATAAAGTATTTTAAGTCTTCCTATTCTTTAAGTCAACTACACCATTTAAGCCTAACGACCCAGTAAGCAAGCTACGCTTGTTCCTTTATAAATAAATCTGAAGACAAGCTAACTCCTAAGCACTGTTTGCGTGAGGCTTGCAGACAGATCCCGGTCTGTGTGACATCTGGGAACAATCCGTGGGAAGGGGAGGCGAGGAGAGGGTGAGAGCAGACGCTGGATAACTGGGAACGTAAAGGAAGAGTTCGAAGTGTGTGCAAAGTGGAAGAGGGTCTCGGGCAAGTACGGGTCGGAAGGCAGGGCAGGTTGTCCCAGCCAAACCCGGAAAGACCAGCCCAGAGCAGGACGGAAGAACTAGCTGGCGGGGAGCGGGAGGACAGCTGCCATCGCCAAGGGCAGGTGAGCGAGCGCGCAGGTGGGGAGGAGTGCTGGCATCTTCTAGGATGGGAAGAGTTCAGGTGAATCGGGGAAAAGAAAAGCAGCGAAACTCTGAAGAGCAAACCTGTTTGATTCGGGCGGGGGCGGGGGGAAGCAACGTGGGAAACACGACTCACACTGCAAGCCCCAGCGCGGCAGAAGGAAACCCCTGGAGGAAAAGGCTCTGGAGGCGCGGGGGCGAGCCCCTGCGCTCCCTCCCGGGGCCGCACCCTCGGAGGTTACCTTTGAGCTGGGGCAAGGGGTGCAGCTCCGCCTGGCTGCCCTGGCTGCGGAACTGCGACGAGCCCTGGGAGCGCTTCTGCCTCTGCGCCTTGCGCACCGATTTCCGGGTGAAGCCGTCCACTTTCTCCGAGGCCGAGATGGCGGCGCTGGCAGCCCCCACCGGCGGCGACGACGACGACATCGCCGCGGCCCTGGCGCTTGGCAGCTCCGGCTGCTGCGTGCACGGAACGGGCAGCCGCAGGAGGAGGAGGTGGGGGGAGAGGCGCGGAGAGCTCGCGCCCCTTCGCCCCGTCCTCCCGGCCGCGCCGCCCTCCGGCTCCCGGGAGCCGCCGAGCTTCTCCTCGCCGCCCAGCTTCTCCTCGCCGCCCGCCGCCGCCTCACGGCCACATCTCAGTGCCGGGGGTTCCTGGTCCCCGCCGCGCGGCCACCTCCCGGGGCTGACGGAGGCAAGGGCGGGGGCGGAGGGGGGTGAAGAAGTTGTTGACTTCGGGCGCGGAGGGCGGGTGGAAGAGAGCCTGAAGTTTGGACAACTGAGGCGAGGCGCGGGGGTGCGGACGCCGAGCGCGCCTCTCTTCTCTTCAGCCCAGTTCGCGAGCCGGCCGGCCGGCCCCTCACTGTCCGCTGCCAGCACAACCCGCCCTGCTTGGAGCCTCCTCCCGAGGCGCTGCCATCGCGGGTCCCTTCCGAGCCGCCGCCGCGGTGCCCGCTCTTCCCTGTCAGCGCCGGACCCTCATATCCCGGGGCGGTAACCCGCCGCCCCGGCTCTGGGCGCGCAAACCCTCGCTGCTCACACCGCCGAGCTGTCCGAGCCCCCTCCCCCGTGCGCCCTTGCACCGCCCACGGAGAACCCCCAGCGGGCGACCGCTACAACTTGAGAAGGTGGAGGGTGCACGCAGGGAGGGGGGACAGTGTGTGTGTGTGCGTGTGTGCGCGTGTGCGCGCGCGCTAGAGCGCGCGGCCCAGGGGAGGGGCCGCGCGAGGGGTGGGGAAAGAGGAGATTGACTGACAACTTCCGCAGGGTCCCGCCAGCCTCTCGGACGTTCGGGAGGGAGTAAGAGGTGGGAAAGCATGCCTATTCTCTCAGCCAATCGCAGGGCTAAGCGGCAGGAACGGGGTGAGGCGTGGCCTCCTTCACGGTCTGTTAAGGGGAGAGGTTAGGCTGAGAAACGGGGCGAGGTTGTGTGATGGACTTCTGCCACAGCCAATCGTGAGTGAGGACGGCGAGCGGTGCGCCGCTACGTCACAACAGCGTGATGAATTCTTCTGGTAGAGAAGGGAAGTGTCCCGCCTCCAGGAATCGCACTCGCACGCCTGCGCGGTGGGGCAGGCTGTGTTTGCTCTCCTGACTGCCTATGAGAAGAGCTAAAGACTAGAGGGGACAGTTAGAGAGCGAAGCGAGGACCTTTTCTCGTTCTTGGCCCATCTCCTGGCCAATGAGGAACTGCAGCGACTGATGGGGCTGAAGGTCTGGGGCGGGAAAGAGCGCCAGGTGTTACATCACTAAAGTGGGTGGAGCAGGAGTCGGGGTTGGGAAAAGAGCGGTTAGATTGACGGGCGAAGGGACCCTGGGGAAGGCGAGGAAGGGAGTCCGTTGGTTTGGAGTTGGGCGCTGGATTCCTGGGCGGGCCTTGGCACCTCCACTGGTACTAAACCGCGTAATTAGTAGTTGCGGAATGAGTTTGTAGTTCTTGAGTGGTTCAGGCACCGTGGTTCCGAGAACCTCTCACGCCTAGTGTGGGCAGTCGAGCACGTACTGCTTCAAAGAATTCTCCGTAGCCGCACCACGCTGGAAGAGGTTTCTCGTGCCCAAGTTAGCATCCCACTAATTTTCACCCTTTCTTCAGCCAGAGGCCTTCGCTTCTCCAGCAGAACGAGTACAGATTCGCTGATCAGTGGCTTGTGGATCGGGGGTTGCCGTTTACTCGCATAGTGATCTCTTCCTCGGAGATGACAAGATTCTGAAGGACAAGGACTGGTTATCGTGTGGGTGTGGGTGCGCGCGCGCGCGCGCAGGCTTTGCGTATCATGTTTAATAAAAATAAGTGTGTTGTATGAGGAGTACGCAAAAGGAACCAAATGTTCTCTCTCCAAAGTGTTATAAGACTCTCACTACCCCGAGTATTAGTGCTAAGCGAAATTCATAAATTGATTTGTCACTTTCATTAAAATTGATAAACCTTTGCAGAGTAGCAGCATAAAAAAAATGTAAGCCTAAATTTAAGCCTAGAAAATTTTAAAAATTGAATAACTAAGCACAACGGTGTCTCCCTTTGGCTTAGTGGGTTTTGCGCGGGTGGGCCCAAATCTCCATTCCTTCTCCCAGGAACTCCAGACATTTTCCTTTCCACTTGATAAAAATAGGTGCCATATGTTTATGCAAAAGTACCTGTGCATATGTACAGAAGATTCCAACTTTGGGTAGGAAGTTGGATTCTAGATCCAGAACCAAACCAATTACCTCAAAACATCTTCTTCCTCAAATTCAAAAGTGGTGAAGCTGTATACAGTTCTCCCACTCAGGAAGGTTCAAATCTCAACAGCAGCTTTGACAATCCAGTCAAGCTCTAGACCATATGGAATCTAGTTTCGAAAATGTTCAGGCCAGGCCCTCTCACAATTTGCACAATTGACCCTAAACATACTTCAGGGCTTTGAACTTCACTACCAGATTAGTCTTTTAAAAACTCCATTTGTATATTATTCCCATGTTTGAAGAACTACCCAGTACCTGCAAGTAGAGTCTAAATTCAAGACTCTTCCTCAAGCTAACTCCTACCTACCTTTCAAGGCATAAATGTCACCATGTCCCTAAGTAAACTTTTTTCAGGTCAGACACATCATTCCACATACTGATCCCCTAGAAGTAGTTATACTCCCTTAACCCTCTGTCTTTACTCTTCCAACATTTTGAAATAATCCTTTTTCTCCATCCAGTTGAAGATTATATATATATATATATATATATATATATATAACCTTTTCTTCAAGCCCCAACTCAATCCCTATCTTTTATGAAGCCATTTATGATAATCTGGCTAGAAGTGATATCTCCCTTCTTTACATTGCCAAAGCATTTATTGTCTACATCACCCATATGGCCTGTCATCACACACCACTGGAGATGACACGATGCTCTTCCACTCCCCCTGAAAGTTTATAAACACCAAGAGATTAAGATGTTAGTCTTTCTATACCTCCGTATCCCCTACAGAGCACAGGATAGACCTAGAGTATATAACCTTGTTTTTAGTTCTCCAGAGCAAGGTGTCTGAAAGTGTGGTCACCTGCATCAGAATCCTCTGAGGTGCTTATTTAAAATGCAGATTCTGGGATGGCTGGGTGGCTCAGTTTATCAAGCATCCCAACCATCTCTTGCTTTTGGCTCAGGTCATGATCTTAGGCTCCTTGTTGGGCTCTTCACTCAGCAGGGAGTCTGCTTCTCTTCTCCCTCTGTCCCTCTCTGTGATCTATCTTTGTCCCTCCCCCTGCACATGTGTGCTCTCTCACTCTCACAAATAAAATCATATAAAATAACATATAGGTTCCTGGATCTGATCCCAGACATACAGAATGAGAACCTATGGGAAAAGCAATGAGAAATCCATCTTTAATAAGCTCCTCAGATCATTCTTATGCACACAAATGTTTGAAACTACTATTCACTGGATATTACTTTAAAAGATTGTAAATAACTGGAAATCAGAGGTACTATAATTAATAATAAAGAGGATTTAATGGACTAAGAAGGGGGAATAAATAGCAGAAAGCAAACCAATGGAATAAAGCTAAAATTCATACTAGAATATGATAATGGATACTAGAAAATAGATACCAGAAACAAGTTGTTGAGAGACGTGGAAAAGGAAAGCTACTTAGGCTTTCTGAAATGGCCCCTTGGGGAAGAATTTTGAGCATAATTTTAAAGAAAGCATAAGTCAAAACCTGAAAAGAGAAAAGAGATGAAAAGAGAAAAGGATGACATTCCAGATTCAAGTCTCCAAACATCTTGGGGGAGGTGGGAAGAACAATAGCCCAAGAATAAAAGGCCTGACTTTATTACTCACCAGCAGTGTGATCCTGCCAAGTCACTCACACTCTCAAGAGCCTTCATTTCTACATGTGTACATCGGAAAAAAAGTGAACATCCTTCCTTACGGGGTTAGCATGAGTTTTAAATGTGAAACATGAAAGAAAAAGTTTGGGAAAGCAGAAGCTATACATGTGATAATTTTATACAGCTATGATTTTTTATGCACTGTCTTAAGTAAAGAAGGTATCTGTGTCCTAAACAGACTTGGTCACTAAGAATCATCTATCAGGAGACAAGTTGCAGTACAAATCTATTTGTGCCTCCGATGCAGGAAGACTGTTGATTCCATGTCATAGATCTCCTGCCTCTTTCCATCTGTGAAGACCCTTGCTATACAGTGTCTCAGAGGCCAAGCCTTCATCACTGGCAAATTCTTTGGATTGGTTTGTCCTCACATGACTTGATTTCCTTAGTTCATAAACAGAAGTACACTTACTGATCTCATTCTTTTATTCATAATGCCTAGCTTGCTGAGGAAAATGAGCAATTCATGAAACAACAACATCCACAATACCAAAATCATGGTTCTTTAATAGTTTTAAAGAGTGCATCAAAGAGAGTGTTCTTTCCAAATCACTGTGAAATTCTCTAGAACATATCCAAGCGAGGTTTTGGCTGTCAACATTCTCTTTTCTTAGGAGCCATGATTCCCAGACTGTGATCTAACAGAGCCCCAGACAAATGTGCTTTATCTGCAGAATCAAATAGTGGTGGTATATTCCCAAATTTACAAAAGTAAAATTTGTCCTATATATTTTTTCTTAAAAATTTGACTCTCACTACCTCTTTATTAGAACCTAAATCAAGATAGTATCTGATTTGTCATAAAATGTTTATTTTTAAGACCTCTCCCCTTTTTATAAAAATGCACTCATTATGTAAAGTTTAAAAGGAGTAAAAGGGTCAGGAAAAAGTCTCACTCCCATCCCTGTCTCCCAATACCCAGTTCCCCTCCTCAGAGGCAACCAATGCTACCAGATTCTTACATGCGCTTCTTCCAGAGAGATAATATGTTTACTTCCTTAAAATTTCATAAACTCACATTTTAAGAAGCTCCACCAGATGCTCATGATTTTTAGGTATTTTACATTGCTCCAGACTTAAATTGAACCTTCTAGAGTTCTTAGAGGTTTGTCCATATCCATTCATTCATTCATTATTTTATTCATTAATTCACTCACTCACGTGACATATTTATATTTGCATACTCTGCAGCAATAGAACT